AGTTACACTTTGCTAGTGGTCAGACAAAAAAAACATTACAACTTCATTGTGATATAGAAAAGAAATATGGGCACAAAGGTGAAAATACAAAATTAGAAAAGCAAACACAGGAAACACAACTTAGGCAGAATGTTACTTTTGCATGCAGCACTGTATGAGGAATTGCAGTGCAGTCTGTCTACACCTCCTGATGTGCCAGTCTGTCAGCCCACAGATTCTCATCTACGTCACAATGAATATCTTCCCTTGCAATGCAATGTGGAATTGATAGAATTCAAGAGACCCATCTCACAACTTCATATTTGTGGATGATGCTGGCTTCAACCTGACCAAAAGCAGAAGGTGTGGTCGAAATGTAATCGGCCACAGAGCTACTGTTGATTTGGCAGGCCAACGGGGAGGAAATATCCATTGTCAGAATTTGTAACTCTTGTGTTGTCCTCTGTCTATATATGCTTTTTAAATTGAAGGTTCATGAGATGCACCTTTGAGCTATTTCAGAGAACTGGTTTATCATTAGCTGATCTACATTCTATTCATTAGTGAAAGTCAAGATTCACTTGCACAATTCATGGCAAATTTACAAAAAGTCTAATAGAAATGTGTAGAAAATATGCTTGACAGTTTATGACAACTAGATCAACCATTTTGCATTTAATGACTTAGATGATGAACTAATGACTAGATGTTTTGGGGGGTAAGACTGTTGCACAGAGAACTATATAAAGCATTTTGAGCAACATGACATTAGCAACTGATAATATAGGAAACCGCAGACAAATGTACATAATCAATTGCATGAATGTACCAAAGCAATCGAAACTTGTTTAAAAGAATGAGAAACTGATTTTATGATGCGGACTAGATGATGCGGAGGTTGAACAAGTAGTTTTGAGAATTTCATTTCTGATCTGAGAAATGCATCAAAGCGACTCAGAAAAACTGTAACTAGTTCTTTGGGGTCAAGTTGTGTTTTTTTTTTATGAGAGGCTTAATAACAGCCAGTTTGAAGTTGGGGTCAAGTTGTGGTTTTTTGATGAGAGGCTTAATAACAGCCAGTTTGAAGGTTTTGGGGACATATCCTAAAGACAATGATGAATTAATAATAGTCAGAAGAGGATCTATGACTTCTGGAAGCATCTCTTTTAGGAGCTTAGATGGAATAGGGTCTAGCATACATGTTGGTTTAGATGATTTAACAAGTTTATACAATTCTTCCTCTCCTACAGTAAAGAATGAGTGGAACTTTTCCTCAGGGGATCTATAGCACTATATCTGATGTGATACTGTAGCTGATGGCTGCATGGTTACAATTTTATCTCAAATAGTAGATCAAATAGTATTGATCTTGGAAGTAAAGTAGTTCATAAAGTCATTAATGCTCTGCTGTTGGGAAATGTCAACACCTGTTGATGCTTTATTTTTCATTGATTTAGCCACTGTATTGAATAAATACCTGGGCTTATGTTTGTTTTCTTCTAAAAGAGACAAAAAGTAATCAGATCTAGCAGTTTTTAATGCTTTTCTGTAGTATAGGGTACTTTCCCGCCATGTAGTATGAAATACCTCTAGTTTTGTTTTCCTCCAGCTGCGCTCCATTTTCCAGGCTGCTCTCTTTAGGGTGCGAGTGTGCTCATTATACCACGTG